AAGTGGGCCACGCCACCCCCTCCGCCGCTGGGGCAGCAGCCCGTGGTCCAGGCTGCTCGGTGCCGCTGGTGATGCCGGGGACCCTCCCCCCCCTCCCCTCCCCCAGCCGTGGCCCCGGAGGCCCCAGCCCGCATCCCGCGCTGCCCCCCGCCTGCTCCCATCCTTTGCCAGTGAATAATTTATGGCGCTTTGCGTCTCGCTGGCTGCTCCTCGGGCGGGTGGGCGGGTGGCGTGGGCGCTGCGGGGGGCCTGCTGCAAGCTGGCCCGGCCCCCAGCCAGCCAGGAGGGCGGCTGCTTCTCTGGGCAGAGGGGCCTTCCCTTCCCTGCAGCTCCCGAGGAGCCTGGCCGCCAGCGGCAGCTCGCCCTGCCCATCTGCCCGCCGGCCCTCCCAGGCAGCCCCGAGCCCACGTTCCTGCAGGGGTGCAGGAGGGGACACCCGGCCCTCGGCCGGGTGCCCCTCCCGGGAATCCCGACCGGCGATTGGCGGATTGTGCTGCAGCCCCGGAGAGCCGCGGGCGGCGATTGGTGGGGCTGCCACGGAGGGGGCCCACCGCCTGCGCGGGGTTTTCCATGGGCCGCGGCGGTTGCATAAGCGCATTGTTCTCCCCAGTCAAAGGCAGGGTTTGTTTCCCTGCTGCCGGCAAAGCAAATGTTGCTGACCAAGATCTCGGAAGAGCTCAGCTCTGCCCCTGCCCCTGCCCTGCCCCTGCCCCAGGGCAGCATGCCGCTCCAGATCAGCTCCACCATTCCGTGGCCTCCGAGAGCCATCTTGCTGGGCCTCCCCCTCGCCCGGCCAGGCCGAGCCTGGCTCTGAAGCCAGTGTGAGCCTGCTGCCGGGCTGGACACCGACGGGGGGCCCCAGGCCTCCTGGGGGACCCCCCTCATCAGAGTGGCGCAGGCAGCAGTGGGGTTGAGCAGAGGCGTTGGGCTCCCTTCTCCCGCTGGGATCGCAGCCCCGTTGCCAGCACAACCTCTCCCAAGGGCCCTGGTGCGGCTCCTGGAATCGGGCCCGCAGGGCTGAGCGCGGGCAGGTTTTCTTCCCTGGAAGTGTGAGGAGCCCCTCTGAGGCCCGAGCAGCTGCGCCTGTTCCGACCCTGGACGTGCTCAGCCCAGGGAGCTGCGCTTTCCTTCTCCGGGTGAGCCGCTCCTGAAGCGACCGCTCAGGCCACCAGGCTCCTGCTGGATGCTGGAATCGGTGCTGAGTTTCTGTACGCTCTTCTTTGCCAGGTGGCCTTGGATAAGCCACTCGCAAGTTTGGCCCTGGTGGGTGGGGAGCCGGAGCCTTTGCAGCCCACCAGAAACTGCCCAGGCAGAGAGGGCGCCCCTCTTGGCGGACTGGATCGCGGAACAGCAGAGCTGGACGGGGCCCGAGGGTCACAGGCTCCACTGCCCTGCTGCTCTCGCAAGCAGGATTTCCCCGATTTCTAGCCTCGCTCACGAGCAGTCTGGCTTCCTGGAGCTTGAGCCCGCTCTTCGGTGTCCTGCAGTCGGGGGTGGTCCCGCCCCCCTCTTTGTGACAGCCTTGCGTGCAGAGTGTCCTCATGTCTCCCTTCAGCCCTCCCTTCTCCATGCCCAGAAACATGCCCAGTTCGTTCCGTCTCTCCCAGTCGGTCTTGCATTCCGGATCATCCGTGTTGCCCTCCTCGGAACTCCCCTGCCTGCATCTTTCTTGCTGTGCAGTGCCCAGAACTGGACACAGCTCTCAAAATGGGGCCCAACTAGCCCCAGAGAGAGGAGGACTGGTGCCTCGTGCGATTTGGAAGCTGTTCTTCTCTGAATGCAACCCAGAATCACACCTGCCTTTTCTGCAGCCGCTTCGCACGGCTGGCCCGTACTCAGCCGGCGACGTGCGACCGCTTCTCGCTTGCAGCATCGCTGAGCCGAGTGTCGCCCCCCCTTGTGGCTCCCTCTTCCCAGGTGCAGGGCTCGGCATGATCCCTGCGGGGTTTCATTTTGCTGCTTTCAGGCCAGCTCCAGCCTATCAAGGTGACCAGCTTTGTTGCTGCCGGCCGGGACACCAGCCCTCCCACCCAAATCCGTGTGCTCTGCAAATCCGTCCTGTGCTGCCTCGCCCAAGCCATGACGAAAAAGGCTGGGCTGCCCCCGCCATGAGGGTGCTCCGTGGGCCAGGCGGAGGCGGGCGGCTGCAGAGCGGGCCCTGCGCCGGCTCACGCAGGAGGAGAAAGGAGAGGCAACGCGCATCCCGAGTGGATGCATGTCATGGAAGCCCCCCCCCCCCATTTTCTGGTGGGGAGATCATGCTGGCCGGCAGTCACGCTTCCCCTCTCCGCCTGGCATCCTGTCCGGCTGCTCCTTTCGCTTCCTGTTTGCTTCCAGACCTGCAGGAATCCCGTGGGATGCAGCCTGCTTTCCTGCACATATGCAGAGTGATTTGGGGTGCTGGGTTTTGATTTGCTGGTTGAGTCGCGAGGCGCTCCCGCCTGCTCCCCTGGAGCAGCATTCAATCCCACACCCCTTCTGAACCCGAAAGACTCAGCTCTGGATTGCAAACTATTATTTAAAAGCAACCCCTTTCAGTAGCTTGTTCTAGGAACGGGCGGTGGGCCCGGGTGGCGTCCTTGCCCTTCCTCCTTGTGAGCTTCTGAGATGCTCCCCGCTCGAAACGCGCCCCTCCGCCATTCCCGCAACCGCTCGATCGTCCCTGGCCCCAGAGAGAGCAGCTCTGCGGGAACGGAGCCAGGGAATCTTCTCCGGCAACTTTTGCTGCGGAGAGTGAACTCCCGAGCCGGGCTGGATTAGCCGCCGCTGCCGCCACCACGGCTGCCACGCTGCCCGGATGCGCCCTCCGCGCAGCCACGTGGGGCCACCGCTAATCCACGGAGCGGCCCAGGAGCCGGAGCGGTTCCAGGGCAGCCCACGCGCCCTCCCATTGGCCCGAGGAGAGGCCTGCCATTGGCCACGCGCCGCGGAGAGGCTCTGTTGCTGTGGCGATGCCGGGGCGGGCCAGCCCCCCCCCCCCCCGCCTTCGTGGCCGGGAATAATTCTCCTTAATCCTCCGCGAGGCATCAGTGGATAAAGCCGGGAGCCTCCGGGAGGGAGCCGGGCAGGGGGAGGGAGGAGCAGCCCCTCCAGCAGCCAGCCCGGCTCTCCTCCTCGGCCGCCCCCCTGGGGAAATCTGCCCCCGCAGCTTCTCAGGGCAGGCCCAGGAGACCCGGGGCGCCAAATGGGCAGGGGCGGCCCCTTCTGTGTGGAAGGGGCAGCAAGGCGGGTGGGGAAGCGGGCCGGGCCGGTGGCACGCCGAGCGCGGGGCATCCCGGCCCGCTTGCTTGCGTGCGCCGTGGGGAGAGCGGGGGCTTGCAAGGCAGTGGGCCCCCTCAAGACGGCCCTCGCCCTGGGGTCTGCCACCACGGACCCCCCAGCCCCGCTTTCCGATCTCTCTCCATCTCCGCACGTCACTGAGAATGGGGTGCCACAGATTCTGGGGGAGAAGGGGCTCGCTGCCCTCCCCTCCATGGGGCTGTGGGGAAGGCCAAGGCGGCCCGTGTGGGGTGGCATCCGGCCCCTGCACTGGTGTGCAGGGAAAGACCTCCCTGGGCGAAGGGTGCCGGGGCCGGGGGGGCGAGGCGAGGCCCGGCGCGCCGCGGCATGTGAGCGATCTCCATGGGGACTGGGGAGCCGCGGCGGAAGGGGGAGACGGGGATGGTGGCACGTGGGGGCCGCCGGTGGGCCGGGGTGGCCGGGGTCTCGTTCTGCCACAGAGAACGGAGGCTGAGCGAGTGCGTGGCCTGGGGCCCCAGCGTGGCTTTGGGGCTGGGACTGCGGTAGAGACCGGGGCACCTGAGCCAGGTGGGTGAGCGGCCTGCTGGGCCAGAGGCAGCCGGGCTGGCCGGGCGTTCGGCCCCTTGCCGGGTGGCCGCTTGGTGGCCGGCCTGCACGAGCTGCTCTCCCTGCTGGAGCAGAGTGAGAGGGAGGCCAGCCGTGGGACGTGCCCCACTCGGAATCGGTGGGCCCAGAGTGGGGGCGGATGACCTCCGTCGCCTGAGCACGCCCAAAGTGCCCGGAGAACCCCTCCCCCTCCCGGCGGGCAGGCGAAGGGCCAGACCTGTGGGCCTCCGTCTGGCCAAGCAGGTTTTTCAGGTTCCTGGAACAATGGCGAGAACCTGCCGGACTGGTTCAGCCCGCACGGGGGGGGGGGGGCCCCCCCCCCGCCCCCCCGCCCCCCCCCCGGTGGTTTCCCCCCGCCCCCCCCCCCCCCCCCCGGGAAGGGCGTGCCCCCCCCCCCCGCCCCATCCCCTGCCTCTGTCGATTTGGCCTTGCAGATGCGTCCTCCGTGGCCGCGAGGGGCGAAGGAGGGTTGCTCTCCCCACGAGGCTGGGGGCCGCAGGGAGCTCCCCAGATGGAGTCCCGCAGTCCCCCCGCCAGCTGCGGCCTTCCCGAGGAAGCGGGCCAGCACTCCGACGCTTTGGGCCTGGGGGGGCCCTCGCTCGCTGGCAGCCCCAGCCTGCCCGCCCTCCGGGGCTCCCCACTCACGATGGGCCCGTGGGTTTGGCAGCGCCCGGAGGGCCGAACGGGGAGTGTCCACACTCGCCCTGGCCCACCCCCTACGCACCGCACCTAATTGTGTCTTGCGACATTCAGCACGCTTCCTCGAACCCCGGGGGCCATGTCTGAGGGCAGGAGCCCTCCCGCGTTGTCTGGGGGGGGGGGCACCAGTCGCGTCCCCAAGGCAGGCTGATAAAAATTAGTCTGGGGAGGCCAAAGTGGGCACTTGTGCTCGTGGCCGCTTGCTGTGGCGTGCCCGGTGCACCCCGAAGGGAAGAGGCCTCCGCGTGCCCCCCCTCTGAGCACCTTCGCGGGCGGGCACCCGGGGGGCCTCCCTGGCCGGTCCAGCGCCCCCCCGTCCTCCCCATCTCGGGTCTTGCCAGCCGGGGGGTCCGGATGGCATCCGCTCCCCCTCTTACTGAAGGGAGCACTGCGGGGCATGGCAGGCAGCCCCCCTCCCGCCCGCGTGCCACGAAGTGACCCGCTTTCTCTTGCAGACGATTCCTCCTCGGAGAGCTGCAGCGGGAACGGCTCCTCCAACCTGAACCCCTCCACCTCCAGCAGCACCCAGGGGGATGCCGCCTACCCGGAGATGAACGGAAATGGAGCCGCTGCCCCTATGGACTTCAGCATCTCGTCCGAGGACCAGCCCATCAACCTGTGCGACAAGCTGGTGCCCCCCCACGCCAACCCCTCCTACCCGCCGGACGGCTGCAGCGCGGACGGCCTGCGGAGCCGCACCAAGTACGGCGCCAAGAGCACGGCCGAGGTGCGTCCGAGGGAGGGGGCGCCCTGTGGCGGGCTGGGCCACACGGGGGCAGGACGCGGGCACGGTGGGGGCCAGAGCGGGCGGGCCACGGGCCTGCCGGCTCTCCAGAGGCCCTGAGCCGCGGCGGCCGTTGTGGCCAGCCAGTGGGGCCACGGCCCTGCCGCTTGGGGAGGCCCCGGGGGCTGCCTGCAGGCCGTTGGTGGAGGCGGCGCTGTGGCCGGCACCTTTATGGGCCGGCTGCCTCCGGCACAAGCGCTCGGGGCAGGCTGGCCCGGGCCTCCCTCCCGGTGCCCCCGTGGCTGCCTGACCAGAGAGTTGGCTGGGGGCCACACCTTCCATGGTGACCTGCCTGTGCTGCAGGCCAAATCCCGGCTGAGCTGGGGCGAGGCCCTGCCCCGCCAGGCCGGAGCTGCATGGGGGCTTGCTTCCCCTGGCTTTCCCGGGGAGGCGATTCTGCGAGCGCGTCCAGCGCTTTCGTTAGGGATCCTGGTTTCGGGTCCGATCTGCGATTCCCGCTCCCGGCCGCGGCCGGAACCTTTCCCGTGCTGTCACGGCCACGTGCTCATCGTGGAGCCGATGACAGCCAACGTGAGACCTGAAACGTCGGGCGGGAAAGGGCCAGGCTGGCCCGAGGCTCGTGGGGCAGCTGCAGGGAGGGGCGGTTCCTGCCCAGCAAAATCAGCGAGCCCCTAAGGCAGTCGGGGGGCAGTTGGGGCTGGGGGAGTCCAGTAGGGGAAGAGGGGATGGGGCGGCAGGGCTGGTGCCAAGCCTGATCTTCCCGGCAAACTGGAGTCGTTGCGCGAGAAGCGAAGGCAGCCGGCTGCCCAGGGACGTGAGGAGACTCGGGCAGCCCCAGGCCGAGGGCTTTAGGAGCCGAGGAAGGAGGCCCCCGATGCAGCAATGTGGAGCCGCCACAAGGGGGCGCTTTGCCCTCAGCCCTCCTCATGGGCTTCCCACGGGCACCGGGCTCCACGGCGGGAGGCAGGATGCCGGGCACCGTTCCGGCGTGGCGCTGCTCACGCAGGAGCTGAGTGGCTTTGGCGGGAGGGGGGCGAGGAGCCGCCAGCACCTTGCCGTCTGTGCAGAGGAGGGCGGCCGACCGGGTTGGTGCTGTGCAGGAGCTCCCGCAGGGGCCCATTTGCGAGGCAGACGGGGCCACAGAGCCTTTGCCGAGTTCCTAAAGGGGGAGTCGCTAGGCGGAGGGTTGTCTTCTCAGCCCTCAGCAAGGGCCGAAATATGTGGGTGCGAGGGGAGGGGAGGGGGTCTGCCTCCAGGGGGACGTTCAGCGCCCCCTGCAAGCCGCATGAGGCGGAGGCAGGTGGGTGAATGGGTGCGAAGCGCTGACTCCCGGCCTCCTCCCTCAGTCCCCTCCGTACAGCTCCGGGAGCTACGACTCGGTCAAGACCGAGGTCAGCGGCTGTCCCGAGGACTTGACGGTGGGCAGGGCTCCCACCGCAGATGACGATGACGACGACCACGACGACCACGAGGACAACGACAAGATGAATGACTCGGAAGGAATGGACCCGGAGCGGCTGAAGGCCTTCAATGTATGAGCGGAGTGCGGCACGGCGGGCCCCGGGGTGCTTCTGCGGGAGGCGGGGGGCCCCGGCAGCCTCCCGAGCTGTGCCCCTCCCCAGGGAGGCCTCTCCCCCAGCAGCAGGGGGCCCGGGTTCCGTCCATCCCTGGCACTGCTTGGCCGGGGCCCCGGGCCGCCCCTGCGCCTCCGCAACACTGGCCCTGGCCCCGACGGCCTGCTCTCTGACCTCGGATCCCCTGCTGTTTCCTCAGATGTTTGTGCGCCTTTTTGTCGATGAGAACCTGGACCGCATGGTTCCCATCTCCAAGCAGCCCAAAGAGAAGATCCAGGCCATCATCGAATCCTGCAGCCGGCAGTTCCCGGAATTCCAGGAAAGAGCTCGCAAACGCATCCGCACGTACCTCAAATCCTGCCGCCGCATGAAGAAGAACGGCATGGAGATGGTGAGCCCGCCGCCCCTTGGGCTTCTCTGCCCGGCCCCGGCGCTGGCGCACACCTCCTTTCCCTCCGGCAGAGCCGCAAGGCCCGGCCCTTTCCTCGGGTTCCCTCCCCCGCAGGTGAGGTCCCTGCACTCGAGGGGGCGGTGCACTTTTGGCCCCAAGGTGCCTCCAGGGCCGGGGTGCAACCCTGGCCTGGGTCTGGCACGGACCCCGTCCGCAGGGCAAAGCCCTTCGTCCCACAGGCCTTGTCAGGGGTGAGGTGTCTGAGCCAAGCAAGCGTCCTGCAAGCTGACTTTCAGGCAGGCCCTCTCAGTGGCTTTTGACATGGAGCATGAGAGCCGTTCTGATTTTATTTATTGATTAGACTTCTATCCCACATTTTCCTATTACCTCAAAGCAGCTTACCTCATTCTCCTCCTCCGGCTCTCACTCTTATCCCCACAACAACCCTGCGAGGTAGGCTGGGCTGAGACTCTGTGGCTGGCCCAAAGTTCCCCAGTTGGCTCCACGCTGTTAGGTCCCAGGAGAAGGAACCTCCTTCTGTACTGGCTGGCATTTCGCCAGCAGAGGGGACGGGTGGCCAGGGAGTTCATGCGCCTCCTGGGAAGCCTGGGGGGGCGGGGGGCATGACCAGGAGCACCTTCCCTGGAACCGCAGGCGTGAGGCCACCTTGGGAAAGTGGGGAAGGAGGCGCCCTTCGTGGTCTTGGCCGGGCCCGTGCTTGGAGCGCACGGTCTCAGCGGATGCTGCTTGTCCTCAGTGGCTTCCGGGCTGTTTCTGGGCACAAGCCGCAGTGCCGGTTGTCACTCAGGAAGGCTTGGAACCCGGATGCTGAACGGATCGTCCACGGCCCCACCGGCCGCTGTGCCACGCCAGGTTCAGCTAGCAGGGTCCGGGCCTGTCTGGCCCCCGCGCCACCCAAGCCTAGCCACGCTGGGGACGTGTCGGGTCTCTCTTCCGCCTCCTGGGGCTCAGCCTCTGGCCTGCCCCTGTGGGAGACCCCTGCCGTGCCCTCAGGGGTCCTCCCCCTCCAGTCGCCTGGGTGCCCCGAGCGCCCTGCCTGCCCCTGCCCGCTGCCCCGCTTCTGCACCTTGGCCCGCTGCCCGGGCTGCCCACTGACCCGCTGCCTCCGCAGGCCAGGCCCACGCCCCCACACCTGACCTCCGCCATGGCCGAGAACATCCTGGCCGCCGCCTGCGAGAGCGAGACGAGGAAAGCCGCCAAGAGGATGCGCCTGGAGATCTACCAGACGTCGCAGGTGGGCCGTTTGCACAGGCCGCAGAAAACCCTCGGCGGCAAGTGTGGCATGTGGGGAAAACCTCCGTTAGTGCTTCCCGTGGAGGCGTCAAAAAAGGGTCTAACTTGTTCCAGCAGTTTCCGGTAAAGGAGAAAAAAGAACCTAAACTGAGGTTACAACTAATGCAATTCAATTTAAATTCTTTGATGGTCCGTGCAGAAAATGGAGTGCCGGAGCATCTCCCTTCCGCGGCAGGCCGCTTTGCCATTCTGGGATGAGCCAAGCGGGTGGGAGGGACACAGCTTTAAGAAGAGGGCTTGCTGTGAGGCCCTGGGCAGGGGGCCGCCTTCCTCCCCCGCAGTAGCAGAGTGGCCCCTGCGATTCAGGGGACCGGTGTGCGGAAGGCGCCTTCCCCCCGGGGCTCAGTCCGCCTCGGGCCGCGCTGCCCGGCGCGCCACATGAGGCCGCACCTCGCCTTGACGGCCGCCCTCTCCGTCCTTCCCGCTGCAGGATGATCCGGTCGCCCTGGACAAGCCGCACTCCCGGGATGCGGCCGCCGTCACGCACGCCTCGTACTCACTGCCAGCCTCCTCCTTCTCGCAAGATCCTGTTTACATCAACGGGAGCCTCAGCTACGGCTACCGGAGCTACGGGAACCTGGCCGGCAGCCTGCAGCCCGCCTCCTCGCTCCAGACCGGGAACCACAGCAACGGTGAGGGGCCATCGCCGCCCGGGGGGCTCCGGGGCCAGGCTGCCCCGTGGGCGGGGGCGCGTGGCCCGGCCCCCCCAGCCAGGCTCCGCTCCAGCTGCCTCTCTCATGGGCGCCTCAAGCGACCCGGGGGGGGGGGCGCCATAAGGAAAACCAAATTCGGGGGATACTGGGGGATCACGGAAGTCCCTGCTGGTTATTTAAGTCAGGGCGCGATTTGGTCCGTTGCTTCTGTCACTCGCCCTCACCCTTCTCAAGCTCCCCCGGGAAACCAGAGAGCCCTGTGGTGCCGGAAAGACCGCCAAGCGGGCGATGGCAGGACGGATGCGGGAGCCGCCGGCCAGAGCTGCGGGCAGACAGGTGTGCGCACCTTTGCTCGGCCCAGCACTGCCGCCTGGTACTTGCTGCTGTGAGTTAGAACGGCTCTGACCTGGAATTCTTGCCGGCTTCACTGCACCCTGCCTGGCATTCGCACAGGCAACAAAGGGCGTTTACTTGGGTGTTTCTATACCGATTCCAAGCATTTCCGCACCGCTTGCATTGGCACGATGCCTTCTAGCCCGGCTGGGTCTCCCGCCTCCATGGACCAGCGGGCAAGACTTGCAGGGAGAAACGTCATCCTGCAGGCCCCACAGGCCGGGAGGAGGCAATCCCGTTCAGCGCCGGCTCCCGGCTCGTCCTCACGGGGAGAGAGTGTTTTCTGGAAGATGCCTTTCCGGGATTAAGGCTTCCCTTCCCTTCCTAAGGCCCCTTAGCTCCGCTCCTGAAGCCCAGTCCCTTGAGCAAGGGAAGGGGGTCAGTGCCCTCCCTGCAGGTGGCTGGCCCTCCAGTGCCCCCCGTGTGTGGGAGGAGCTTGCCCTCCTTTGCAGGAGCCCCGGGGCCAGGACCTGCCACCTTGGGGGCCCACCTTGCTTGCTTTCTCCCTGTGTTTCCGCTGGCCTTCCCCCCTCGTCCACCTGCCGAGCTGGCATGGGAGGGGTCCCGCTGAGGCCTCCAGAGCAGCAGCCCGAGCCCACACGACGCAGCCTCCTCGACAATCGCGCGGCACGTGCGGCGGCTCCGCACATGCCCCTCTGGCCGTGCTGCAAGAGGTTCTCCGGCAGAGGCCAAGCCCCAGCTGCCCACGCCAGGCGCGCCCGGACCCCGGGCGGGAGGCATGTCTGTGCTGCGGCCTCTGCTCCCTGCCGGATTAGCCGTGCTGCCGAGGGAGCGTGGCAGGAGCGGCCTCCTCCTCTCCGGCCCCTCCTGCGGAAGGAGAGCCTCTGTGCCCACCCTGCCAGCCCTGCCCCCCCCCCCCGCTCCTGGCCCGCGGTGCCTGCTGCTTGCGCTGAAATCGCCGGCACACGACTGGCTGAAACAGTCCTGTTGTTCCCGGCTCTTGGACATCACCGCCTTTGGTCTCAGGTCCCGAGGTGACCTGGGGCATCGTTCGGGGCGGGGTGGGGGCCGCAGTCTCCCAGGCTGGGATCCAGAGGCACCGCTTGCCGCTCTGACCCCACTCTTTGCCCGCAGGCCCCACTGACCTCAGCATGAAGAGCGGCGTGTCCAGCACCACCCCCGCCGCCGCCACCACCCCGGCCAACAGCACGAACAGGGGGGTGCCCGCCGCCCAGCTCAGCCCCACAGAGATCAGCGCGGTGCGGCAGCTGATCGCCGGCTACCGGGAGTCTGCCGCCTTCCTCCTCCGCTCTGCAGACGAACTGGAAAACCTCATTTTGCAGCAGAACTGACTGCGCCCCCCCGGCCTGGGGCCCCCTGTGCCCGGAGACACTGCCCACCCCGTGCGAGGCCCTCCTCGATGATCTGCTCAGGACTGGCCGTTCCTCTGCCTACCAGCCACCACCGGCCTGGCCCAGGTTCTCTCTTTCTCCAAGGTGGGATCCTCAAAGACCTGCTCTTTCTCAGCTGAGGAGCCTGGGCCCAGCACCTGCCTTTCAGCCCACCTGCGCCAGAGCCTCCACCACGCCTGGAGAGATGCAGGGCTGTTGTTTGGAGGAGGAGGAGGAGGAGGAGCGGAGGAGGAGGAGGAGCAGGGAGGCCAGGGTGGGAAGGCGCTCCAGACACAGCAGTCGCTCTGTGGAGCCCGGCAGCCCCTTCAAGCCCCCCTCCTCCCACCCCTCCGCCTCTTCCATGTGCTAGGAAAAGCATATTTATTGAGAAAAGGACCCTCCCTTCCCGAGACCCCTTCCCCTCCACCCTAATTTATTTTTGTTCTGAGAAAGGATTCTTGCTTTTGTACAGATCTGCCACTTTTTGTGTCTGTCTGAGGAGGAAGCGGTCAGGAACTGCACTGCCACACATTCCATCCCGCCCTTCCACGTCCGGCGGCTGGAGGTGGGGATGAGCCAGGTGGGCTCTGCAGCCTGCGGGCTGGTTGGGCGGCTGCAGGGCCCCCCTTCTGTCGCTCTGCTCACTCTGCTGCCCAGCAGCCCCTTGGCAGCCGTCTCGGGCCGCCTCTGGGCTCTCATGCCAAGGCCCCAGCCTTGCTCGGCACAAGAACTCGCTGCCTTCACTTCCGTGGAAAACCTGTAGGCCCTCCGGCGAGCCCCCCGCTGCCTGGCTTTCCTCCTCCACACTCTACCTCACTCTGCATTGCGGTTCCCCCCCAGAATCTGCTCTTGCCGGTGCAGCAGCTGTGGGGCCGGGGGAGAGCCCCCATCCACCTTGCCGGCCCCTCGCTGCAGGGGCCACCCTCCCGCCGCAGGGTGTGCCGGAGACGGAGCTGCACGAACTGCCCAGGTGGGGAGCGTGTGGAAGAGGGAAGGGCAGCGCAGCCGGAGCCGGAGCCCACGGGGGCAGCGCCTGTCTCCCCGCGGGCCCATCCTGCGATGCTTCTCCAAAAGAGGCGTCTTGCAGCTCAGCAGGCCGAGCGCCGCGGCACCAAGCGCGGGAAGCGACTGAGCCACTTTGTTCCCCCCTCCAGCTCCCCACCCCGCCTGACCCATGTAACGCACTTGCTTTTGCTCCGTGCAATATTTCTCCAGTGCTGCTAAAATCAGGAACAGGGAGCTCAGGCAGGGAAGCCCCGCCACCCAACTCTCCGCGGTGGGGGGAGCGAGGCGGCCCCGGCCCACGGGCTGGACGAGGCCTCTCCACCTCGCTCGCCACCGGCCCGCGGCGATGGCTCCCGAGCCGCCCTGCCACGCCAGCGTCGCCAGGGAAAAGCGTGCCCCCCACCCCCCGCTTGGAAACCTCCCAAGGACAGGCCGCCGGGCTCTCGTTTCCCTGCCCTTGAGCGTCTGTTTAGCTTTCAGTCGCCTTGTTCCACAAGGTGAGAAAATTTAGCACTCCATTCCAAAACCAACTTAGCGGGAAGCAAGTTTTGCTCGAGCAGAATTTCCTTCCGCACTCACCCATGCTGGCTCGGGTCAGGCTGTTAGTTTGAAGCCACACCTTACACAAAACGTGTTCTCAGGAACAAACTACCGCAGAGCCTCTCATGAGGAAATTCTTAGTCACTGCTGTTCATCGCCAGGCTGTTGTTTCCCCGTCAGGGCAGGGCTTTGCTGCACGCAAGAATTGCTGGTCCTAGTTCGCATCCTTGTTTCTTAATTTTGGATATGCCGAGGGAGACCCTCGGATTTCGGGGAGGCGGGGACTAGCCCCTTGGCTGACCGTCCTCCTCTCAACCTTACTGTCACTTGATTTTCTCCCCAGCAGACCACAGTCTGGGTGTGCTGCTCTTCTCCCACTTTGATTTGTGTAAATATTTATTGTTGTGCGAGGCACTGGCAAGAACAGCCCTAGTAGAAAAACCCTTACTACACCCCCTTTGTGAAAATCTTAGCGTTAAAAGAATGGCAGAGACAATCGCTGTCTTTAAAATCCCGACGTTCAATTCCTCGCGTGTCGCCTCGGGTCAGCCGGGGGTGCCACCGGGAGCACATAGCCATGAGAGGGGGGCTGGTTACCCAGAGGCTTAGAGTAGAACAGACTGCTTAGGTAAACGGTCCCTTTGTGTAACGTTTCGAGTCCTCCTCACTAGATCACTTTGGAACTTGTCTTAATGTGCGTAAGTTGCTGCTTTTGATTTTTAAACCACTGGTAGAACATTGGAGACTGATAAGGGACGAACGAGGCCACCGGCAAGCCCACCGGGGTCACAGCCTGCACCTGGCCAGGTTGGGGTTCTGGCAAGGAGCGCCTCTGTGACTGGATATTTGGATCACAGAAGCCATTTGGACATCTCCGGTCTTTGCTGATCCCTGTAAGTAGAGACCTGTTTTTCTGCCAAAGGCCAGCTTGCCTAGTCTTACAGACATGAAGCCACTGGCTTCTCCATTCTCCAACAAAAGGAAAATGTTTTTGAGTTAGCAGGTCTTCTCTTATAATAATAAAAAAAAAGACTGAGCAAGAAATCTCCATCTTGCATTCCCCATAGCAGCATTTTGGCCAGTGGCCAAAGGTTTCAAGTGGAATGACTGCCCCCCCCCCCCAAGCCATTTCCCTTTCTTAGATGGCTATGACATTTAGTACCAGTCCCATTTATGAGAAATGCTGCTTTGAACTCAGAGGGTTAAATAAAAATTTGATTTCTAATTTTTTGTAAAACTTTTTACAAGGTTAGCCTAGCGATTTCACCAGAATACCAACTACAATCCCTGTCCATGGTCTGATTTTTATATAATTTAGTGGTGCTTTAGAAAGCTTGGTTTGGTTGTTGTTCCAGAGCTGTACGGCTCAGTTCTTCGCCTGTATGTACCTAAGACCAATGTGAACCTTTGTACTTTGCTCCTGACTTTGGACTCAGTGAAAGTGTACTGTTTACATGTACAGAACTCCCAGCACCCCCTCTGTGTTCTGCAAGACCCGTTTGTGGCGAGGAAGGCAAACCTCACCCCTGTTCATCTGCTTAGTAAAGCCACAAAGACTCTCTCACCTGTATCCTGATAAACAAAAGCCACACAAACCGCTCCGGGGATGTACTGGAAGGAAAACGGGATGTACGCAAGCCACCCCTCTTTTCCTTCAGGGGCCAGCTCACCATCCAGCTTTCTCATAGGAAGAGAAAACACGGGAGCTGGGAGCTCACGCACCACTTGAATCACGGATGATTCACGGCCTTCTGCCCCCGAACCGCCAAGGCACACGCGCGATAGAGGCTGGGCAGCAGGGCCGAGGAGAGGGGCAGGGCAAGGAACTGGCCCCTGCAGGGACCGGCCCGACCGGAGCCCACTGCGGGAAGACTCCGAAGCCGCCCCCATTTTCCCAGAGATGCGACACAGAAAGCAAATGGCACTTAAAACCAGCTTGAGAAGGTAATGCATCGCTGCTCAAACCAGCCGAGTGCTTCTAAGACGTCCTTCCCAACAGGCACCTATGCAACTTCCTGTGGCTCTTCTAAGCAGATGGGCACTTCCTCCTCCGTGTGCTATGGAGAGACTTTTGTGTTATATACAGTGGGTTTTTCCAGTAAATGTGGCTTAATATTTTAATTCTTAGAACGTGTGTTTGTTCTACGTGATGCAACTTAATTCTGTTCTGTTTGTGAAATGAGTAGCACAGGCCAACCTCCTCGTCCCATTCACTGAAAGACCAACGAGCTGTTTAAATCAAGCGGTTCTTTCCATCCATGGTATTACTTGCTAAATGCACTGATTTCATAAGTATGTGGATTTTTTTGAGTCTGTATATCATATTATAAGACTGAATCTACTTAATAAACACTGTATAACAAACAACGCATCTCACACCTTCCACGTACCTGCAGTGGCTTCTTTGCCCTGGTTCCCAGGGGGCCCCACAGGCCCACGGAGGGGGCAAGCCAGCCACCCTGGCTGCAGCGCCCACGGCCGCCACACCTGGCACGCCCCCTCTGGAGCAGGCCGCTGGGCCCAGGCTCTGGACCACCGTGGCCAGCGAGTCCGGGAAGGCTCGTGCCTGCATTTCAGCCCGACTGAGCAGAGCCCCCCGGTGCAGCTGCAGCCCCATCTACATAAACAGCCGTCTCATTTACGGCGTCAACCTGCCAGACACGAGAAACTGGCTAGAACAAGCCAGTGCGGCCGACAAGCCGGCCTGCGCTGCAGCCAGAGCAGTGCCCCACGCGCGGGGCCTCCGCAAGAGGAGCCGTTCCCATGAGCAGCTCCTCGCTTGGGCCCTCCTCTCCTGGTCCAAGTGGCGCGCGGGGGGGGGGGGGGCAAAGGGCTCCGAGGTGGCGACCGACGGGGCAGGGGTCGAGTGGTCGCCCGGCCCTGCTGGCGGAAGGAGGGGTCCTCTCGCCTCAGCCTGGGGAGGCGAGCGTGTTGGGAGTCCTGCTTAACATACGGAACTTCAGATGATCGTGGGAGCTCTGGCAGCCCAAGGAGCATGGAAGCTCCCGGTGCTGTCACAGGCTGCATCCCATAATCCACATCAAAGCCGGGAACCACCATGCACCACAAGTGCTTGAGGCCACCTGTCTGGGACAGCCGGTCCGCGGAACCAGTGTGGCGGCAGCCAGCCTGCCCAGATGCAGCGCAAACCACGGTTCAGGCCGCCTGGGTTTCCTGCAGACAGTCCGGGCGGCCGCAAAGGCGACCGTTACGCGCCGGAAGAAACCCGGCAAAAGGATGCGCCTCCTACTGCCGTTTTAATCCACCTTTATTTCCGGGGAAGACCACCCACAGCATCGAGGGGGCAGGTCTTGCGGAAGCCTCGGTCGCGGCTCTTCACCCACCACGTCACATGGAACTGAGGCCATTTCAAAAGGAAGATTTTAGGTACAGGTACAGCTTTTCAAAATGTTTTATTTTTTTCCAATACCACAAGGGACATACAACATCAGGGGTCATCAGAGAGGACTCCCCACCCCCCTCCCAACCAGACCGGCATCAGTCTGTACACAATAGTGGCCCTGGAGGATGCAGAGCAAGGGGGCCCGGCTGCGCCCCCCATCTTTGGTAAGCAGGTTTCAGACCATCAGCTCAGTTGCCTTTAATACCGCAATTCACTTCACCCTACTCTCCCACGTTTCCTGCTAAAAGCTGCCACTGATTAAGAGTAAACTGCTTTGGAGGGGAAGCCCAAAACAGCTCTCGAGTGAGGAGGCCTACAATGAAAGAGAGGTGCCTGCTCAGGGAAAGAGGTAGGTAAGAGCGAAAGAAAGGGCGAGAGGAAGCTAACAGACCTTCACTGTTCACTCACTGGAATAAAAATGGAAATTCTGGTTCCCCCACTCTTGCTAGGAAAACCAACTGCGAATGGGCACTTTCCAAAGGTGTAACACTGGCTTGCCTGCTCACACCAGGTAGGACTAGAATCCAGGTGATTGCTGCGAAGAGTGACAGGGATGGGGGCAAGACAAAATCCGAAGCGCCGACGCCTGAGCAGCTGGGCAAGGCCCCCCTTCGGAGCACGGGCCCCTTCCCCTCGAGGCAGCGAGCCCACCTGGGCAGGACAACGGGCAGTCGCAGCTGCGAGGTGCGGCCAGTCCCGCCCAGGGCAGGACCGAAGACACCAGCTTTGACTATGGATAGCAATTCGTTATCAACACCACTTTAATGCAATACTGCTGCAGCCTGAAAAATAAAGGAATTAAAAAAAAATCCTTTATGTACATAACATCAATTTACAGAATTGGCCAGTACTGTGTACAACATATAAATACATGATCGAACAGATGCATAGAGGGTACGTATAGGAGCCAACCATTTCACTTTTTACACCCAGGAACAAAGAGTTTAAAATTATATATATCTCTATATATAGTTTTTTTAAAAATGACACTGCTCAGAAAGCAGGCAGCTGCGTGCAGCCCAGCCCGTCGCACGGCCGGACGGACGGACGGCCCCGACCCCCCGGCTGCTGCTGCTGGCTCCCCCTCCCGGCTGCAGAGCCAGGCGGCTGAGACGCGGCCGCCCACCTCCTGCAAGCCTGCTCTGCAGCCCACAACCACGCGTGTCCTGCTCTCCCCCCGCACGGAGGGCCCCAAAAGCGGCATTCCCCTCCCACAAGTCCGGGAGGGGCGACGGAAGGGAGAGCGGGGGACAGAGCTCTGCTCCACTCGAACCAGTGGGACATCTGCCGCTCTGCCCTGCAAGACGATGGGGCTTGCTCCCATTCCCAAGGAGGCGTCCCCTCCCCGCAGGGGATGATGGGGCACAACCCCCGGTGCCTGGGGGGGCATTGAAGCAGGCCAAATGTGCAGCAGTTCCTACAAGGGACAAACGCTCCGAAACCGGACCGCCCCTGTGACCAATTGCCAACTCTAGCAGGAAAACCAAAACATACTGTGTTAACACTGCCTCTATTATGACCGGAATTATATTTTGTGTACAGGTTCCAGGATCCTCGTTCTCCAAACAGACACACTAAATTTACAGCTCGTCCCCTCGGGGCAGTAGCTCATCATCTCACCACAAGGCACAGCACGCAGAGCTTGGAGGGGCCGATGCAGTCGTCGTGGCAGAACGCCCCGCAGCCCTTGCACATGATCATGGCTTTCAGGCTGCAGGAGCACTGCAGAGAGATCTCCTCCATGCTGCTGCCGTCGGCAAACATCTGTGCGGAGAGAGAGACGCCACGGGACGCGGCGAAGTTCACCTTGTGGCCCAGCGGCATCATGCTTCCCGCAAGGCTTCGGGGGAACACGGGCGTGCTGGAGGAGTAGTTCAGGCCGGCCGAATTCAGCTGCAGCTTCGACAGCTTCCCATAGAAGGCCTGCTTGATGTTGAGCTGCGACGGGATGGAGGACGGCTCCAGCGGCTGGGCGAACCCCCTTCCGGGCTCCCGTGGCAGCTTGAAGAAGGGGAAGTCCCTCACCAGGGGGACGCTGGGCAGGTGCCCCACCAGCTCGGCGGGACTGGGCGAGGCATCCGTCCCCTTCTCCACGCGCCTCTTGGCTGGGCTTGCAGCAGCCAGGAGAGGCTTGCTCTCGGCTCCGGTGCCGCCCCCGGCCAGGCCGCGCTGCTTCGGGGGCCACTCTTCCCTGGCAGGCGGCACGCAGGCGCCAGGCGGGGCGCTCCGGGGGGGCGGGGCTGCTGGCCTGCTGTGCGACAGCATGCCCACGATGGGGAAGGGCTCCAGGGCACCGGCGCGCTGTGCACGAGCAGTGAAACCAGAGCCAAAGACCTTTTTCCCGCACGCCCCGTGGCTCTTAGGAACGGGCTCTCCACCCAGCGGGCTCGGGCCGGCAGACACCGTGCGCCCTGTGAGCGCGCCGGGCTTCTTGTCCGGGCCCTCGGGGGTGATGGGTTCCGCAGCAGCCACAGGAGAAGGCTCCTTCTGGTCGTGGCGACCGCAGGAAGGGGCCGCTCCTGCTCTCCAGCCAGGCGCATCTGGCTTCTGGGACGCACTCGCTGCTTGATCCAGAGCGCTGGGCGTGGGACCACTCTCAGGACATTCCGGCCCTTTCTCCAGCCCCTCCACAGGCAGGAGGGCTGGGTCAGCGGTGCGCTGCCTCTGGGAAGAGTCCCTCAAAGACTGCGGCACGTGGTACCCGTTCCTGACTGGGCCACACACCCCCATCGCCTCGTGGGGGGCCTTTGGCAAGAGGCCACCGCCCTTGCTCCCCGCTGGCAAAGGGCCCTGGGCAGAGGGCCAGTCAGGCAGGGAGGCTCCAGTCGCCGCCTTGGTGCTGCCGAGAGACCCTGGAAGAGCTGCTTCCAGAGGCAGGTTCCCCTTGAGCAGCTGCATCACGAGAGGGCTGCTTGCTTCTACAGACAAGGGCTTGGGGGCGCTCGGCACGGGCCTTTCCGGGCTTCCTGGCTCGGCGGGGAGAGCAGGCTCACAGGTGGTCTGGGGTCCCTGCCGTTGGGGCTGACAGAGGCCGGCGTCCCCTGCCTCTGAAGGCAAGTCCTTCCAGAAGGCGAGCGCGCCAGCGTTTCCAGGACTCTCCGACTTGATCCCATTATACTGCGCCACGGAGCCCCTGGGAGGAGCAGCCCCTTTCTTTGCGGCTCTGTGGTTCTCCTGGGCCAGCTCCACATTCTCGTCCGTGGACTCAGCTTCTAAGTCAGATGCCGTCTCCGTTGTCTCACTAAGCACGCTCCGGGTTTCCTCATCACTGAAGGGGCCGGGCCCAGAGCTGGGCCGCTCCTCTGCCAGCGGGCTGGCCGTCTCTGTTCTTATCCGCAGCACCACTTCCCACGGGGGGAGGCGGTGGGGGGCGAATCTGCCACACGAGGCACCGGGGCCGTCGGACAGCGGAGCCGGCTTTGGCGGCGCAGCTGCGTCCTCGCGACTGCCGTACAGCTCACTGGGCGCGGTTTTCCCCTGCCGGTGCTCCGCCAGCTGCTGTGGAGCCGCATGCGACAGCGGGGCGGACCCGTCCATCCCAACCGTTCTACTGTGCTGCGCGGAGCCGGGGCCGGAGCCAGCCAGCGGGTCGCCCCCGCCACTCTCCCGCAGTGGCTCAGGGCTGCAGCGGGCGCCGCCGGAGGTGCCCTGCCCGGCCGCGCCACCGCCATTGAGGAGGACGCCGTCACACATCTCTGCACTACCTGTGCCGCCAAGCAGGGCCACTGGGGACCGCTCCAGCAAGGCCCGGATAGGCGGGCCGCGAGAGGGGGGCTCCCTTGCTGCCTCCTGATCGTGGTCCCCCCGGGAGGCGGCCCAGGGGGACAGTCCCTGACTGAGGTCAGCCGGGAGGTGGCTGGCATCGCCCGCCGGCGTCCCCGCGGCAGTGCCGTCCAGGGGCGGCGTGGCCCTCGCGCCACCCGGGCAGCTGCCCCCCCAGGACTCCGCAAGCTGGGCGGCCCCTCCGGCTGCCGCGGGCACACGGCCGGGTGCCCGCTCGCAGGCAGCCCCGCCCTCGGCCCCCCTCGCACAGGCGGGCAGGCCCGCTCTGGCCGGCGCTTTGAGGCCCGCCTCCTCTCCTAGGTGGGGAGGCGGCAGTAGCTGTGCTCGCTGTACACGAGGCACGCACTTGCCGCGAGTTCTCTTCGATCGCCAGCACTTGGGGCGGCTGCCGGGCTGCTGGATCCTGCCGCCGCCGCCGCCGCCTTTGTCTGTGCACCGTCCGCCTCCTCCCGGCCCGCCCCCGCCTCCAATGGGGGCGGCAGGAGCAGCAGCCTCTCGCTGGACCCGGCCTTGCAGAGCACGGGCCTCAAAGTCAGCAGGGGCTGCGGCCTCAGCTCCGTCCTGGCGGGAGGGCTCTGCGCGGGGGATAATCCGAGGACATATCTGGTAGGCTGGCTGACCTTTAACCACCCAGGGGGGTTTGATGCGGGAAAGCTGAATCTGGAAAGGAAGCAGACAGGAAACGTCGCGCTCAGTATTCCGGGGGCGCCTGCAGAAGGAGGGCGCTGCAGCCCCCGGGCCCCCTCGCCCAGCACTCCCGTCCCTCCGTGGCTGACCCACGCCTGCCAAAGAGGCCCCGCCGGTGTTCCAAAATGACCGCGTGCACAGAGGGCGAGAGAGCAGCAGGGCCAGGATGGAACGGCACCAGCTTTTCCGCACGCCCGCCCTGTCCTCATCGACCCTCCAGCCCCACCCTAGAAACTGAAGGTGAGCCCTGCCCTGCTCGCTCAGGCCGGGGGTCTCGGCGCGCCCCTGACTACGCTGGCACCAGCCGTGTGCGATGGCACAGCCTCCAGGGACGGCCGCTGGCCGGCCACCCCCATGCCTGGGCCGGGGCTCGCTGTTGCTCCCTGGCACGGGGCTTTCTCGTACCCGGATGGGTGGGACTTTGGGTTCCTCTTTGGTGGGCTGTGGCTTTTCTGGGTGAACACTTTCAATTGTGTTACGAAAGGACTGACGATCTTCAAGCCGGGGCTTCTTCTCGGGGAAGGAGGCGGAGGCCGCTTGCTCAAAGCACTTTCGCTTCTGCTCCTTGGACTCCTGGCCCTGCGGCTCCTGGGACAAGCTGGGAATTCTGGCCGCGGCCGTGGCCAGGGAGAGCACCTCGCCCGCCTTGCTCAGGTTCCTGGCTGCCTCCGGTGGCGTCTCGGCCGCCAGGGACGCCTGGCCCCCCTTGCTCAAGTCCGCCTCCGGCTTCGTGTCCCCACAGCCACTGGAATCTGCCTCTGCAGACAACGCCTCCCTGGCAGCTTCCGCTGGCTCGGACTCCCGCAACTTATAGAGGCTCCTCCGGGTCCTGCACCGCAGGGAATGCTTCTTGAGGTGCCCGTCGCGCTGCCTGGTGACTGGGCCAAGCTGCACCTGGGCGGGCTCTTTGTGGGCAGTCAGGGCCGCCTTGCTTTCCGTGTCACCCAGCACCAAGTTCTGCGGCTGGGGCTCCTCCCTGGTCAAGCCAAGCCTGCGGGTAAGTGACACAGAATCCAGTTAGCAGGCAGCTCCCAGTGGAGAGACACTGCGTCGCCACCACAACCACCGAAGGAAGGCCTGGCTGCCGCCCGGGCCCATGGCAAACCCCACCCCACCCCACCCCACCCCACCCCACCCCGGCGTGGGAAGACACTTCAGCAAGCGCTTCTCAGGCGTAACCTCCGAAGAGCTTCCACCGCGCATCCCCCTCAGTTTGAACAGGAGATCCTGGGGGTTTCCGGGTGGGGTGCAGAGGAGCAAATGCCCGGGGAGTCTCGCGCCCTCACTTGGTGACTGCTTTGTTCAAGGCAGGCTCCCCACTGGTGCATGGTGACAAATGCAGGGGCAAGTTATCAGCTAGATATGCTGAGGCGGCCCAGAGTCGAAGCATGAACAATGCTGATTCTGAATACAATTCTAAAAATAGCTGGGAAAAGACTGGCTTCTTACTAAGCAAATGAAAACTAAGAGTGTTACAGGGATGTCCCTTCAGCTCAATAGTTTAGAGAAAGGGCAAACCTCAATTAAGTAGGCCTGGAGCTGCATTCTTGGAGAAAGAAAATACAGCGAAGGGAGGAAAGGGCGGCCTGAAAAGTTTCTGCTAAGACTCTGGGGGAGGCTGCATTGCGAGATGTTCAGAAAGCACACAGGGAAGCACTTACTTCTGCCCGTAATAGTCCTCAAAGAACCGCTCCTTCCACTGCTCTGTTTTCTTCTCCTTTTCCATTTCCTGCCTTATCCGAACCTGCATTTCGTGCGTGAACTCCCCTGCAAAGAAACAAGCCGACTGAGCAGGCCGCTCGGAAAAGAAGCAGGCGCACAGAGCACGACTCAGCGCGCCGCGCAGAAAACAGCAGCACGGCAGGACGCGGCGGACACGGCTCTGCGCGCCGCCAGACAGGCCGGCAGGGCTCAGCCAGACTCCCAAGGCACCGGGGCTTGGCCGCCGCAGCGAAGGCCGGGCGCGAGCCGAGACGAGCCATGCCAGGGCAGGGGCTGCCCCCCTTCTCGAAGGCCCCTCGCCCAACGGAGCGCTGTTCAGCTCTAAAATGCTACCGATTCTCTTCAAGGTGCAAAATACGCTGAGGGCTCCCGAGGAATAGTTCTGATTCATGCCCCTGGACCTGCCGTGGACTTTCAGGGGCTCCTTCAGGATGACAGGAGTCAAGCGAGGAGGCAGCCTGTCCAGCACCAACGATCTCCTGGCAACGCACCGCTGCAGGAGCCGAGTCCTAAGCACCATCGGAGGCACGCTCTCAGCATGCATGAGGCGGGGGGTGGGGTGCTCGGCAACAGCCTTCCCCAGCCTGGCATCCTCCAGATGCAGTGGAGTGGCTGGAGGATGCTGGAAGCTGCAGACCCATACATCTGGAGGCCCACGTTGGGGAAGGCTGCCCTAGAGCATAATCCAGAATCCTGTGCTAGACGCAGGGGCTGCTGAGCACTCACAGATGGCTTGACACCCAAACTGATATGGGAAGGATTCTCTTAAAGGCAGACTGTTCAAGCTTGACTGTTTGACCCTTTCGAAATTCTGTACCCATAAACAACTTGCAAGTCAAAACCGCTGCCAAAAACATTTGTATTATTTCAGATCCTATCTTTCCCAACAAAAATATAGCACTCAACATGGCTATCTATAGAAACACAGAAGCAGAACGAGTCAGAAGGGGCCTCCCGGGCCATCTAGTCTGACCCTGGCTCCAGCCGGCTCCACTCACGACATGCCCACCATGTGCACGTCCAGCCTGTCCTTGAACACCTGCACCAATGGGGCCTCAACCTCCTCCGTGGAAGCCCATTCCCACCCTCTGGGTCCTGACTGTCAGGAAGCGCTTCCTGGCATCCAAACGGACCCTGGGTTCCCTGAGCTTTGTTCCACTGAAACGCATCCTTCCCTCCCCTGCAGGGGAGGACAGGTCTCTGCCCACCTCCATGTGACACCTCTTCACATAAAGACTTTAAACCGGGCAAGCCACTCAAAATGCTCAAGGGAATTCATGATCAAAAGCAAGTGTGGTGCCACAGGCTTAAAACACCAACTGTCCAACACCACACGGTGCTTTTTATTCACTTTTCATAATCCACTAGAAGTTTGCATGGACTATTCAAGGGACTTTGCAACAACCATTCAGCATTCAGGAGCCTCCTGTGAAAGGGGCAGGAAGAGATTTCACTGGCCCTACTCTTGGGAAAGAAAACTGACAAAAAGGATGGATGCTGGAACAAAACAGAACAAAAGCAGCCGCTTTTTTTGGAAGAAAACCACTTGATAAATCAAAGCAGCCGTGCCAGAACCGTGTGGCTTGGAGAGTCAAGCAACAGGCAGTGGCGCCAAGCAACTCGCCAAACTTGGATGCTGCTGTTCCACCTGAGCTGCGCTGTCTGGCGCAGCTCTTGACACTTCTGGAGATGGAGAGCGGGCATCAAGCCTCTTGGTCGTCACCAGGGAATTAAACATCTCCGCTAAGCAGCAACACGCGCATCCTGACTGCCAATGCAACAGCGGCGATAACACAGATTGTCCCCAGGTTATGAATGAGCTCCATTCCTGAGAGCGCCCCTAAGTCACGTCTGTATACAAGTTGGATCTTGTATGTAAAAAGCACTTAAAACACTTAAGGGTACTTCCATATACACTAAAACACCTTAAACACAATACATCATGGTGATAACGATAATCATACAGTAATACTAAAGTAACTATAGGTACTGAAGAGAGAGCGAGAAAGAATCTGCATGTATATGGGGAGGTATACAGCACCATTCTAAAGAACAGTTTCGATAGGAAGATAGAAAGCGTCACTCAAGAGACCAGCACACCTACCGTCAGCCAGCCTCTCCCTCCAGCTCTGAGCAGCATGAGTGAAGAACTCATTATTCAGTGCGCTCCCGCTAAGCCGCATCAGCCCATCTGTCCCAGCCTAAAAGGAAACCAAGCAGAGTTGATGGGGGAGCATATTCCACTGTCCCACAACAGAGAGACGCACACTCCCCCAGCGTGGCTCAAGGGGGTACATACCTGCCTGTCCACTTCAGGGAGGAGAAGCAGGAGCTGCTGCTGGAAGTGCAAGGGCAGCGCATTGAAAGTCCTGGAGTTTATCAGTGCTCGCAAGTTTGTGTTGACGAGAATGGAGCCAGGCGTCTCAAAGTCTATATCGTCTCCCCTGTTCCTCTTCATTTGTCCTGCGGTTTCCCAAGAGCCAGTGAAACCAGAAATATTTACGCAGCCAACACTCAAGAGACTCTCCCCTCCACATGGCGGCAGCCCCTCAACACACACAAAGCTCATTTGAGAAGCTTTGAAAAATCAACACAGGCATTGCTAACATAAATGAAGGGATGAGACAGGCAACTCTGGGAGAAAGAGATGGACGACCGACGCTGCCTCTGGTCCACTTTGCTTACAACAACAGCCCGTGTTTAAAAAGTTGTGTCACTGGCTTCCCATTGAAGCCCGGGCCCAATTCAAGGTGTTGATTATGACCTACAAAGCCCTAAACGGCTTGGGTCCTGGCTACCTGAACGAGCGCTTACGTCCGTATATGCCCGACCGCCCTTTGAGATCTGCAGGAGAGTCCCTTCTCCGGGAACCCTCCATGAAAGAAATTAGGAGAGTAAATACCCGGAGGAGGGCTTTCTCTGCGGTGGCGCCCAACCTATGGAATTCACTCCCCAAAGAGGTCCGCCTGGCACCGTCGTTACTGGTTTTTCGGCGCCAGGTAAAGACCTTTGTATTTAAACATCATTTCAATTGTTAAAACATAGGATCTGGCCTGGGCAACTTCCTTCTCTTTCTCCTCCGATATTTTTATTTTATACTGATAATTTTAATTTTGTATTTGTAAATCAATGTATTTTTTTTATTTTTATATTTAATGGTAATTTATTATGTACTATTGTATTTCAATGTATTTTATCATGTTGTAAGCCGCCCCGAGGTTTCGGCAAGGGGCGGCATAGAAATGTTAATAATAATAATAATAATAATAATAATAATAATAATAATAATAATAATAATACATGGAGTTTGCGAGTTCAAACTCTGGTCCCTGCTTCTCAACCACCCAGAGTTCTGGGTGTGCACGTAATGGAGAGCTGCCCAGCAGAGTGGACAAGCTGCCTGGAGACAGCTGGTTTCCACATGCTCCCGAGCAACTGGCGACTTGCAAGTCGTGGCGTGCCTGAGCATGCACCGTGGGCCCGATGTCAAAGTGTCTCAACGGAACACTGAGCAGTACAGAGTCGCCCACTGGAGCATGCCCAGGCCTCCTGCCCCACGAACGCAGCACCTGGAGCATGTCTGCACGGGAGCCACTCTGAAAAGGAGCTTAGAGGTGGCCCAAGGACAGCTACTGGGGCAATAAACGATATTGATTTACTGGGGGAGGTCATCAGGAGGTGTGGGCTGCGGAATCATCAGTACGCTGATGACACCCAGCTCTGCCTCTCGTTCTCCACCAATCCAGGTGAGGCAGTGGCTGTGCTGAACCGGTGCCTGGCCGAGGTAAGGGAATGGATGAGGGCCAATAAACTGAAGCTCAACCCAGACAAGACGGAGGTCCTGTTGGTTGGTGGATCGGGCTTCGGGGAAGGGGACCTGAACTTAGCCCTGAATGGGGTTGCACTCCCTCTTAGGGACAGGGTCTGCAGCTTGGGAGTGCTCCTAAACCCAGAGTTTTCATTGGAAGCTCAGGTGACAGCAGTGGCGAGGAGCGCTTTCTTTCAGCTTCGGCTGATCCATCAGCTGCGCCCCTACCTGGAGAACAACTGCCTGGCAATAGTGACACACGCGCTGGTGACTTCCCGACTTTGACTTCTGTAACGCGCTCTATGTGGGGCTGCCCTTGAAGACGGTCCGGATACTTCAATTGGTTCAAAATAGAGCTGCCAGGTTGCTGACGGGGACTGGGCGTTATGTTCACATGACTCCAGTCCTCCGTCAGCTTCACTGGCTTCCCATGGAAGTCCGGGCCCAATTCAAGTTGTTGGTGATGACCTATAAAGCCCTAAACGGCTTGGGTCCTGGTTACCTGAAGGAGCGCTTACATCCATATATGCCCGCCCACCCCTTGAGATCAGCGAGAGAGGCCCTTCTCCGGGAACCCTCCGTGAAGGATATTAGGAGGTTAAGTACTCGGAGGAGGGCTTTCTCTGCGGTGGCGCCCCATCTGTGGAATGCACTCCCCAGAGAGGTCTGCCTGGTGCCGTCGTTATTTGTTTTTTGGCACCAGGCAAAGACCTTTTTATTCAAACGTTATTTTAATTGTTAATATTATTATTTATTTATTTTACTCTTGGCCAGGTCGACCCAAATTATACTGTTTTTATATTGTGTTTATTTATTATTGTGAGCCGCCCCGAGGCTTCGGCGAATGGGGCAGCATAGAAGCCTCCTAAATAAATAAATGCAAGCAGCCTCTACTCGCAGAGTTTCGGAAAAGCACTACAGGAGAACAGGGGAGTAGCCTGACATCTCCAAACCGTCCTGGATAAAAATGCACAGCATTACGTTAAGCAACAGCTGGTGAAGAACGTTCGCCCAGCTAGATTATTCACGGGAACGGGGAGTTCGGATCCTATTTCGCCTCTTCTATTACACTGTGCCTGGCTGCGTATTCATCACTGGGCCCAATGTAAGGTGCAATGTATTAGCACCTGAAGCCCTAATCAGTCTGGGAATAGCTTGGAACCTGGAAGACCACCTGAACCTGCACACACGACAGCGGAAGATTTCAGCCCAGCACCCGAGGCCCTGACCTCGGGAGTCATCGCGAGAACAGCGAGACCGGGAACACGGGGCTGGTGCTTCCATGGGCCAGGCGGCAGGGAGGAACAGGGCACCGCTCTGCTCTCACCTGCTCCCGCCAGCAGGTGTTCTGCGGAGCCCCCACCCGCTCTCCCTGCACGCGCTGGCCGCAGCAAGAGCAGGAGCAGTCCCCCACCCGCAGCTTCCCAGCTCACATCCCTCCTTCTGCAGCTGCCACGCTGATTCACCGAAGAGCCATGCAGTCAGGAGAAAAGCTCCACAGAGCTGGCACTGGGGCGGCAGCAGAGTCCAGGCACCCAGGACGGGGGCGCAACGCAGCGGTGGGAGGGGGCCAGCGGTAGCCCTGCATGTTCGCTTCTGCGGCACAGAGCGAGAGGACCTCTCCCAGGACTGGTCAAATGCCCTTTCTGCGGCCACCTCCAGCTCCAGAAGGGCAGGTGGCCTCTCTCTCTCTTTGAAAACCACTTTTCTGCAAGCACAGCTATGGGTCTCTTTATTCCTGCTCCGTGAGAAATAAATCTCATTCCTTCACAGGGTTATGGAACAAAGGTAAATTATTTGATATCTTCAATGCAGAGGATATTTTTGTAAAGAAGGCTTTCCTTATATTAAATCAAGTGATTCAATTAACCAGCTCACAGACTTTTAAAAAATGAATCTAAGACGGCACCATCTTAAAATGACAAAGTAACACCTTAAGGCCACAGGAGCCCAATGCCAGAGGCCATGTCTGGCAAGGCACGCACAGGGCACTGCCCGTCCAAAGACAGCAGTGGAATCCAGAAGCATTTCCACAGCAACAGCGCGACAACCAGGCAGGCCCTGCCTCTCACACCAAGGACCGCGATCCAAGACGGCGGCACAAAACGAGGGGCTCAAGACAGAGCTCGAAGCTAGGCAGGCCGATAACGTGCCCCGAGCCGTGATCTCCCCGAAGCCATAGCCAGAGAGGGGCGAGGGACTGTGCCTACCGCCTGAGGGTTTACGGAATCCTCGGAGCAGCTGCGGAGGGTCTCTGGAGATGTCCGTCCTGCCGCGTACCGGGGTGCTGCAGAGGGCCGAGGAACCGCCGCCGCTGCTCTCGCCACCAGCTTGTCTCCCGGTGAACCCTGAGAAGCACACACCACTGAGCAGCGCGAATGCCACGTCACCACGGCCCCACGATTACTATTCAACACAACCTCCTAAGTAGCCATGGTTCTGTCAGGTAAGGGCAAGCCTGGGCTACAGGCACCAGGCTGCAAGAACCATTATTAGCATAAAGCACCCAAGCGTTTTCATAATTTATTCCAACCACTGCTATCTGGATTTCTGCAGGGAACAGGGGAGGAACAAGAGGCCCGAGAGAAAGCAGTGAGGCACAGCGAGCCCACAAACTCCTCCCCAGTTTCAGTCCCCCTTTCTCACTTGCATTATGCTTAGCAACCGCTTTTATTTGGGTTATTTATTGCTGGTTCGATAATCTGTATGCCTCTTATTTGGCAACTGAGGATGGCATTTGTTTTTAAAATATTATGATTTGGGATCTCACGGATGAGGTGTGCTTTATGACGTTAGATGAATAAATAAATGCGGCAATAGGACAAAACGATCGCTCCTCCCCTGTGAATGCCGCCCCTGATGCCAACTTTCAGATGCCAAGCCCACCCCCAGAGCTTCTCACGTTCTTTTGCTACCGGGCCCACGCAGGGTCCCGTGCACCCACCCACTGCGACGCTCCAGGGCAGCAGTGTTGCTACTCCGGAGCCTCGGTGGCCTCGAAACTCTTGTGCTGCTTATTCCTGAAACCGTGTCACGGAGCGGAGGGGGAATCGTTGCGCTGTTCGAGACCAAGGGGCCCTTTCGCGTGTGTGCTTTTGCCAGTGGCACCTGCTCACCTGACGAACTTTCCATGTGAGCGCCATTGACCTTCAGAGGAGTCAGCACAACACGGGGAAGCATCACGCCTGTCTTCTTCTTCTGTTTGCTTGCCTGTGTGGCAGAGATGAAAGGGAACATGAGGAGGAAGGTGCTGCTGCTCTCTAAGGAGACAAGCAGCCTTTTCTCTTGGCAAGAGGATCCGGTGCTTTGCTATGCCAGCAGACAGGCCTGAGGCGGAGAATGCCAGCTCAGCCCACCGATTCCTCTCCTGGAGTTGGTCAGCATGTTCTGAACCAGCATGGCCAGCAGCTTGTCCCGGGGTCCAAAGATGCGCATGCCATGCCTGGAGTGCAGGGGAGCGCTGACTGCTTTCCCAGAGGCCCCCGACTGGCCACCACCAAAATGCGACTCTCTTGTCTCCACTAGTCAAAATGGGTGACGTTCTGGCTCACAGCACAGCTGCGTTGGGGATTTCGACACAGGCACCCATGAAGCATCAGTGTCCACTTTGCGCTAATGAGGGCCACCCTTTCTGGTCCGGTCTGCAGGGCTGTGCTACCTGCATCCCTACCTGGGAGGCTGCTCTGTGACTCTCCCGGACGGCGGGCACACTCTTGCTCGGAGGCTCAGTGGAACAGGAGGCATTTGAAGAGGTTTCGTCTAGAGATACTGGAAAGCAAGATTCGTGACATCAGCACCTGGAGATGAAGTGAGCAACTCAAGGCTTGGGTAGGCATACACTTACTATCATTATCGCCGCTCACAGTGCTGGCAGCTTCGTTTGAGCCGCTGCTTTCAGCATCAGCAGTATCATCCAACTCTTCTCCTTCAGGGGCAGCCAGGTTCCGAGACCACTGGACGGCATCCTTCTACAAAAACCAATGAGTGCTCATTTCCTCCATGAGCCAAACTGCAGAAGCACACGGATGCAGCTGAGCTTGGGGGAAGTCCCGTGCCCAACTCCTAGTCGCTGCCTGGTTAGCAATCACTGAAGCGAGATGGTGTGAACGAAAAACGCAAGCGAAAGAAGAAAACTGGCCATTCACATAATCCTAATGCTTCAATATTCTACAACCGGCATGCACGCTGAATCGCTAGTTACAACACAGTCACTGAACTGAGCCTATGAGCCCAAAAGCTGACATTAACACAATTCTAGAGCCAAGATCCTATCATATGCCAGGTCATGCAATATTCATTAGCCACCGAACCTTCAACCAATCCCAGGAAGAGCAATCTGGTCTTACCTTGAGGGTGAAAAGGCTGATGCGACCGGGGAGTTTGTAAAAGAGCCCATCACAGCTCCTTGAATTGGAGTGGAGCATGGCATTCAGGCAAGCCAGGGGGGATGTGCCACTGAAGGGAGAAAACAGGCAAAACTGGATCTCCAAGTCAAGCACACGTCACTTTATACTTGAGGGGGGAAATGGCCGCAAACACGGGGTACTGTGACTCCCCAACGCAGCAATTCGTGATAAACACAGTCTTTCAGACTGACCTGACCTGACATAAACACCACATTCTCTTCCTCACCCTTCCCAAATGCTCTAGTACTTCAGGCGTTTTGTATTTCATTAACTACCAATGTGTGAGATTTGGTCTCAAATTGTAACAAATAATTTTCAGTTGTTCTACCAAGCAGTATGTACTGAAGGGCAAACTGTTTCACTGCAGACCACCCAATACATTTCCTGTGCTGTGTCTGGGAAGAAGAGAAACCCTTTGGTTTCCACTGGGACGAGCACCCACACTCTACAGTGTGGTTTCTCCTAGGTTTCTCCATTGTAGTTTTGCCTACAATGCTACCTAGCTGAACTAGACACAACGCTATCCTGAAACCAGAAGAAAGAGGACATGGTTAATTAAGCCGAAACTGAAATTGGTTGTGAGGCAAGATTTTCAGTCTTGGAAATAAGATTGATTGCTTTTATATCTCACTCTTCATAGTGTCTCAGGAAAATCCTCAAGATGTTCTAAGATTCAGTTTTCTAAGAAGGAAGTAGGCTTGATATAAATTTTGGTTTCAACTCTTAATTCATTTTCTGCACCTTTTCCTAGAATTCCTAGACTGTAGCTCAGGAAGTATCAGCCACTTCTCTAGGAACACACATGCATCTTATAGTATTTATAAAAAGCTCTTCTCCCCTCACACCCGAAATCCAGGAGGAATGCGCAATGGAAATAACCATGCACCACACTATATACTCTCCACAGACCATGCAGACTTCAAGGTTTCAGGGGGGAAAGCACCAATATCTGTGCTGATCTGTGTCCCTACTGCCTCTCAATGGTATCCCTTTATTCATATAAAATCAGCCAGAACAAAACCAAATAGGAATATAGTTACCAAGTTTGAACTAACAAGAAGAATCTAACACGCAAACATTTGTTTATTTCAAATGTTTGAAATGTTTATTTCAAATTTGTTTTCAGTGACCAATGCCACTGAAATTATTTAACAGAAAGCAAAACCTGCAAGGGCTCTGCTCTGCTGCTAAAACAAGCGAAGAAACTGATCAGTGCTCTTAAGCTAATTAAGTAAAACCCGAAGAACATAAACCAACTTGTTTTCTGTGCGTGCTTCAAACTGACCACAAGATTTTTACTTTTAAGACACTATTTTAGAAGTAAACCCACAACAGGCCTCGCCTTGAATATGTTCTCCCAGGGGCTCCTCTTCCCAGTCAACAGGTAGCTACCACTCCTTCCACATTCTTTCCCCCCCCCCTGTTCCTAAGAGACCAGGACGACTGCCATTGTCTACCCACCTTCTCCCTATCAGATGCAGAGCTGCAGAGGCTTTTGGCCCGTGAGGGGAGAAAGAGAAAGGGACAGAAAGAGAAAGCAACACGCCAGCTACAGTGCATTTTTCCTGGAAACACAGCAAAGCCACATATGCGTGCATCTTAGTTCCTCTGCGTGGTAGGGAAGGAAGTGATTAAAGAGCATCGAAGATCACCTGTTTGTATAGAGGGGTTTCTTATCCACCACAGATAAGTAGGAAAGTGGCTCTTCACGGGAACAGCCTAAGCTGACAGAAATGTTATAGGATGACCTTTTATTCCAGAATGCCCCAGAAAAGAGGGGTGCATATCTGGGCTAACCACTGTGGGACCATTAAATGTTGGCAGCATGGCTAGTACTCATAGGCCTGCGATCTGCACCGTGACCAGGCTGGGGAAACCAGGCCAGGCCAGGCCAGGCCAGGCCAGGGGAAACAGATCCACTTCGATCCGCGAAGGAGACTTTGCACAGATGTTCCACTCTTTTCAGAAGCCATTTACCTTCTGGGGACATGCAGTGGTTCCATTGCAATGCCGGTTGCATGTGGGGGGGGAAACAGCCCATGAAAAGAAATGGGAAAACAATATGGGATTAACACAAAATGAAATGCTCGAACTTGCAGACAAGCCATTTAAGACAAATGAAACTAACAGGAAGTAGCTGACTTGGTCCATTTTACTTCTGAAGTACAAGGCAAACAATTTTCCCAACCAGCTTCCCTGCAGAAGATTTGGTTTGCATCTTCCACATAGCCAAGGCACAGCCGAAGCTAGGGATGATGGGAGCAGCAGGGTTCTGGCAGAGTGCTGCTCTCCCTCCTTGATGTTTGATCCCACTGAGCAAGGTACTCTCCTGGACTGACCTGGCAGGGGGGCACTGGAGGTGCTGGGTGGCAGCAGCTCAGCGCTCACCTGAGCGGCCAGCACCAGAGAGCCCCACTGGGTGACTCCTCCCCAGCCCCTCAGCAACTGAACTGCAGGGCTCCGCATGGTACAGTCTTCCCCCGGCGTGGCTTCCTGTCTACAGGAAGCTGCCGGAAGCAGTCAGCACACGATCTGGGTCCAAGTGCCACGAGCATTTTGCTGATACACAACTCTACCTGCCATTGGCATCTGAATCCGGGGAGGCCATGGAAGTCCTGGACCAGAGCCTAGACTCAGGGACGGGCTGCAAAGGGCCAGTGACCTGAAGTGGAACCCCGGCAAGATGGAAGCCCCAGGGGCGAGCAGCTCCCAACACTGGGAGGCAGGCTCACTGCCTGTTTCGGGTGCCGTCGTGCTTTCTTTGCAAGTTCCTCTAGGCCCATTAACTGAGGCTGGAGGTTCTGGTGAGCACGACAGACTGGATTACTGCAAGGCACTGTGCATGGAGCTGCCGGCTAGCCTGGAAGCTGGATCCAGGGCAGAGTGCAGCAGCCCGGCGACCGTCGAGACTATCCTTTGTCAGAGCCAGCGTGGTGCCGTGGTGAGAGAGTGCTGAACTGGGTCATGTGGGATCCCCGTTCTAGTGTGCACTCAGTGATGAAGCTCTGATGAAGAGGGACTTTGAGCCAGTCATGAACTCTTGAAGCCTCTCAGGGTTGTTGGCTTCAGCACAGCACCTCCGTTTCTCTGGAACTCTCCGCCTCTAAAACTCAGCCGGCTACTAATACTGTGTTGTTTTTGGTGCCCCCTAAAAACAGTTACTTCAGAAAGTCTTCCTGAACTAACCAGCCACTGATTTTGGTTTTAACATAATGTTCCACTGTTGTATCATTCACTGCACCAAAACCCTCATATTGGAATATGGAGCAGCATTATCAATCTTGTCCAAAATACCTGGAGGGCACTCGGTTGATGGTGTCTGTTCTACAGGATCAGCTCCAGGCAGAGTTGGCCCATATTTTACAAAATGGGTTATAAAATAAATATAATAACCCATTTTGTTAATTTTAATCTTAGTTAAAATTATGGTAAAATCCAGGATTATATTCTCAACCTTTTCCCCACGAAGCCTTAGAACAAATGCTCTCAGTCCAAGAGACAGGACCAGAGCACACCCGGTTACTTCCAACACTGTTTGCAGCGACAACATCCACAGCTATTCTAACCCTGTTCAGAGGATCCTGCCCTGTGCGTGTCGCCAGGCTGCCAGAACAGGCTGTGCTTATGTTTGCGCAGAGTTTACTACTGCATGCCTGGAGGGGAGGGGCAAGGCCTGCCACCGCAAGCCCACCAGACTTGAACGGTCTGAGGCAGTGCAATGCCTGTGCTACTTCGGCATCTCTGGCATAATGGGGGGTCCCCCTCTGGCACAAAATGAGAGACCGCTTCCCTGCCAAACTCCCCAGAATGACAAAGTTCAGAGGGAAATTACTGTTCATTTCATGCTGGGCGTTCATGAGCGCAGCAGGTAACGCCCAATGTAACTCCATGCTAAATTTGTAGCATATACATTGAACTCAACAGTAGCAACTTCATCCGCTCCATCTTTGCACCCTCCCCTCATGACACTTCATGCTGGGGGTGCAGTGGGATAAGGCTATCCAATAATCCTGCAGAGGCGCTCAAACACTGAAATGAGGAGCGATGACGACGCCATCTGGCAAATACCACAATGAATAAACTAGCAACATGGCACAGGAACTCTGCAATGATTCTAAACATCGACTGAAATGCCCATGACATGACATCATTAATTCCACCTATTTTAAACATGGCAGTTACCTTTGTGCAATACGACTGCTTATCACGACAGAAACTCAAACAGTTGTAACAAGCTCAGTCTACGCAATAAATGGCATGGAGCAAACACAGCACAAAACACGTACAAGCCCACAGCCTTCTCCATGCTGATGAATGGCACTTGGCGTATTAAGAAAAGCATCATGATCCCAATTACGGGTTCAGAATTCTGCCCAAGAGACCCAGGAATTACTCTAACTGAAGCTTAAGGTACAACATATGCTAATATTTTTAAACCAACTGAACTTTCAAAGGCAGAAGAGCTGTGCTGGAAAAAGCAAAGACGTCAGCTTCATAATATTACAACCCATTCTTTGATTTAGGCAGGAAGAGCATTACCGACCTCATTTCCTTTAGGCCTTCTGTTTCTATGACCCGCAGGATCTGTTTTGGGGTCATAGGCCCATCAGAGTAATTTTCCAGCACCTGAAAAGACCAAAACATAAAGCGTAAGACTAATCCCAAGCATTCAACTAGAACTTTAAGAACATGGGTCCAATTCAACATTTCTATAGAACTACCAGGAATGCTGCTTATTCTCACATAATCCATGCTCAGAAGGTTCCCATAACAGAGGTTACAGAGTAAAAATGTCACTCACACACAGACCACGTCAACAACTGCCGTGTTGTGAGAACACTCCCTTCTGCCAAATTAAAATGCAAGAGCTTGAATATAACTGAATCAGAAAATGTGCATGTCACTTAGACTTGTGTGGAGACCCGAGGAAGTCTGTGACCTTACCTTCAGTATGGGGGCGGGGAAAGTACAGCCAGCCATAGCTGGGTTTGGCCAGCCAGGTTTGCTGGCACGGCTTTGTTAGTTTTGCACACAGGATAAAAGGGGAGAGTCTCAAGCGGGGAAGAAATGGGGGAGGTTCCTGGTCCAGGTCTTATGACATTCCCCTGCTATAAATAAAATACCTTCAAAGCCTTGTATTAATCTTTGCATAGGAAGATGAAAAACACCTCTATCCTTCACCAACACCATCCACCCCATTTATTCCTTGATGCTGTCACAGAAAAATAGGTCAGCACTGAGGTGGGAACCCTGGTGGATCCACAGATTCCGGGTGGCATTAGCACATCGGGATACAGGAGCTTTGCACGCTCACTGCATTTACCAGGACAGGCCAGTGGAGCTGTGCTATATGGGGTGGTGTTTCCGGCAGGGCACTCGTCTGCCAGGGATGCAGTCTCTTGCTCTTGTAAGGGGTAGAAACTGGAGGCAGATCTCTTACTAGCGCAGGGCCTTTCTCTGCATTTCCCTGACCTCTTCCTCCCCCACCCCGCCCCACATTCCCTTCTGACAGGACACCTGTGTAATTCCAGATGCCGGCCAGAGGAGAGCGAAAAGAAAGCAGATGAATGGACGCCAGCAGGAGAGGGAACACAGGTGGGAGCAAAGGAGGTGGCAGGTGGAAGAGGAATTGCTCCTGCAGCAGCAACCGACGGGGATCGGGACTACTTAGTTTTGCAACATGTCATGCTGTTCCTCGGCCCCAAAGCCTTCCAGAGTTAAGCAAAACAGTCCCCGCTCGCAGGCTGACAATACAGGGAGACGCGACACACAAGGAAAAGGGACGGAGGGAGTCAGCAATTGCTTGTACAGTACAGACTGATGAAATGGCCTGCAGGTTGTGGCAGCTGAGAGGAGCGCGTGTGAGCAGGGCCCATGAAGGGACGCGGCCGACAAGGAGGCGGGCGGGCGGGCGCACTGCAATGCCCTCACGGCTTGGGTGACCTCTGCCAAGGGAAGGGGCGCTTTGAATGCTTCCTCCCCTGGAGCAAGCCCTGCGACAAAAGGTGCTCAGGAAAGTGCTCTAACCAGCTTCACGGGGCAGCGGCAAGAGGGAGAACTCTTTTAACACTGGAAGAAAAACCGAGTATGGAGATCAAGAAATGCCTGGTCTCTCACCAATGCTGAGGGGTTTTGCCCAACTGTTGATTCTGGAGCTCACTGTGGGAACCTCCCCTTCCTTTCTGGCATGGCCAAAAAGAACAAAGCTCTGGGACGAGGGAGCCAGTCCCATATCCCGAAGAAAAACCCCCTCTGCCATTCCATTTCTGGTTTTACACTTTTTCCATTCCAAGGTCCACACTGCTTGGCTGGGGGTTATCAGATCTGCACCGCAGGTTCGCTTCTTCACATCCATCCATGCTGTTTCACGTTCACTTCCCTCTGTCTTTGCAAATGATGATTTTGTTTGTAAAAAGGTCAGACAAACTGACAGAGAAATTCAGCAGGCAGAAAAGGGGTGAACAACAGCTGTTGGCTTGAAAGCTTTGTGCCTCTCTTGCACATCACGGGGGGGGGGGGAACAATAGCTGTGGGAAGCTGCTTTGGACAGCAAGATAAAAAGATGTCTTCCTTCATTTTCATCCAGGCAATCTATTATCGGACAACAAAATAGGGAGGGCTCCACTGTTATGAAGCATCACTCATCCCAAAAGTTGTTGGAAGGATCCAATTAAAAATCTCCTTTAATGTTCATCCCACTGGTTCTTCAGGGAACCATAACTGCTCTGGGAGACACCCCATCAAACATCCAACATATCAGACAAACTCATGTATTTATGCCTTACATTCTAAGGCAGATTTGCTTTCTTTTCTCTACTTTCTCCCAATAAAATGTCAGTGTGAAACACACATGTGAAATCCAGTTTAAATATAAACTGGATGTCTGCACATAAACTTCTGCTGTGAATTATCAGAACTTTCTATGTTCTGCATTAAGATTCGCATGTAAATTGGACTGGACGTGTCCCTTTGACAACAGTAACCCTAAGCAGAGTCCTAATGAATTTAGCAGAAACGCTGCTTAGGGACACGTCCAACAATACTGGGCTAGATGGACCAGCCGTTTGACTCCGCCTGAGGCAGCTTCCTGTGTTTCTAAGGTTGGGGATTCCGTTCTAAAAACTGCACTAATAGACCATATATGTCTATCCTCCCAGTCTAACAAGAGGGTGGAACTCTGAAACATGTAAACACGGAGATCTTAGTTGCTAAAACTGCACAATTCAGAGGAGTGGTGTGGGGCAGAACAGTTTGCCCTTGCTAAACATGCTTTGCTTAACGAAGGAATTTAAGGGCACAATCCAGCGCACTCCATGCCTAATGGACAAAAGCCTCCAGACTCAGACGCTCGTGTGCATCCACTACTTGCTGCAAGATGGCAGCAGTGGTCACTTTTGCTGACCCAAACTTCATGCCCTGCACTTCAACTAGATGGTTGCATTCAGCCTTCTAGAACGAAGCCCATGAAGGGTGAGGAGAGGAGAGGAGAGGAGAGGAGAGGAGAGGAGAGGAGAGG